GGGTCTCGAACCCGCGGGCTTAGGCAATCCACTCACCTCAGCCTCCCAAAGGCGCGGGATTACAGGTTGAGCCACCGAGCCCGGCGCTAATTTTTGATTTATTGTAGAGATGAGTCCTCGCCAAGTTGCCCAGGCAGGTCTTGAACCTGCGGGCTCAGGCAATCCACTCACCTCAGCCTCCCAAAGCACGGGATTACAGGCTGAGCCACCAAGCCTGGCTAGCCTTTGATTTCCAAAGCTGTGTCTGCAAAGTCCTGCCTTGGTCTGAGAATATTAAATGCATGTTTGGATCTCCCAGGATCAATCTAGACCCAAGATCCCTCAGCCAACACGGGCAGGCCACTCGCTGAGGCAGTGTACTGGGGGCTCTGCTCAGTCTCCAGAGAGCAAACTCAGCATCCCTACGGAGGCCTTCCTGGCCCTCTCCACCCCTCTGCTAAGTCTGGAGCTGCCACCTTGCCTGAGCTCCTGGGAGTTTCTGACATAGCCATTGTCGGTGTTGTAATGATATGAGTGAATCTGTCTCCCTTTGCTGTCAAGGACTACATTATTCACCACCATATTCCCAGCGTCTGGAGCATCTGAAACACAGAGCTCACCAGATATAAAATATAAAAATAAGCCGGGCTCGGTGGCTTACAGGTGTAAGCTACCACACCCAGCCAAGATTACAGGTGTGAGCTATCACACCCAGTCGAGAGGTGTTTTTAATGGTGTGATAAAATGCCCATGTTACGATATGGAATGTAAAAAGCCAGGATGTGGCTGGGTGCGGTGGCTCATGCCTATAATCTCAGCACTTTGGTAGGCCAAGATGAGAGGATTGCCTGAGCCCATGGGTTCGGGACCAGCCCAGGCAACTTGGTGAGACCTCATTTCTGCAACAAATAAAAAAAATTAGCTGGAAATGCTGGCGTGTGCCTGTAGTTACAGCTACTTGGAAGGCTGAGGTGGAAAGATTGTCTGAGCCCAGCAGGTCAAGGCTGCAGTGGCTGGGAGTGTGCTACTGCCTTCTAGCCTGGGTGACACAGTGAGACTCAAAAAAAAAAAAAAGTCAGGATGCTAAATATCAAAGAAATACAACCTCAACTAGTAAAAACTATGCCTGAAAGAAACACTAAGAACAGGAATGCTGAGGTGTGAATAACAGTTAACAGTCATCTCTATTCTAGGCGGTGGGAACAAAGTATTTACTTCTTGCTTTCCTGTATTTTCCACAGGAAGGCAAACACTATTTTTGTAGTGAGAAAGAAATCTTGGTTTCTTTTTTTGTTTGTTTGTTTGAGTTGGAGTCTCACTTTGTCACCCAGACTGGAATGCAGTGGCCACTCCCGGCCACTGCCACCTTGACCTGCTGAGCTCTAGTGATCCTTCCCGGCCACTGCCACCTCGACCTGCTGAGCTCCAGTGATCCTTCCGCCTCAGCCTTCTAAGTAGGTGGAACTACAGGCACGCAGTACCACGTGTGGCTAATTTTTTATTTATTGTAGAGATGAGGTCTCGCCAAGTTGCCCAGGCGGGTCCCAAACCCGCAGGCTCAGGCAATCCACTCACCTCGGCCTCCCAAAGCGCTGGGATTACAGGCTGAGCCACCGAGCCCGGCCGAAATCTTGGTTTCTAAAGGCAAACTACGATACTTGTGGATGGGTGTGCTTTGCAATTACGCTTGGCCTCAGCTCCTCCTGGCCCCCTGGTATCCCCACCCCTATGGCACTGGTGGGCTAGGGCATAGGGACTCACTCACCTCCGGGGGTCTCCTTCCCCCAGCCTGTCGGTCAGGACATAGCTGGTCTTCTCACCCTCTTTGGTCAAACCCTGGTAGGGAGGGAGGTGAGACACACAGGGCCTGAGGCATTTGGATAGTTCAGGTGATGGGGAAGCCGATGGGGGCCAGGCCCTACCCAGTCCTTGGCTCAGGATCCTCTCTCCCAGGCAGGGCCAAGATAGGCAAATCAGGCACCCCCTGGTAGTGTGTGCCCCACCTCCCATGGTAGCCAGCACAAGACGGCCATCTAGCACCTGCTCACCAGTGGAAAAGACTATGGTCTTATGTAAGGATCATGGACAGGGGTTAGGAGGCCCAGGTGTGACCTATGCACCCTGAGTAAATATCTCAAGGGAAACCATGAAGTTAGGGACAGGTCTACCTCATTCCCTGCTACACTCCCAGTGCTTAGCCCAGGGTTGGCCCCAAATGGACACAGGAGACACTTGCTGAGCCAGTGAAGAGGGAGGAAAGGACTCTGCCTACTTTTAGCATGAGAACAACAACATTCCTGACCTCAGACTGAAAGTCTGACCACTTTGGAATGGAGCTGTGTGAACCTGAGCAAGTGAGCTAACATCTGTACAAGCATATCTCAGTTTTTCAGTCTGTAAATGGGCGTAAAGGCCCATCACATGGGATCATAAGGATTAAGCTTGATGTGTTATCTGTAAGAACAAGACACTGTAACAGTGCTTATTTTTGGAGAGTGGGATGGCGTGGTAGGGAGAGAGCCACTAGTTTAGGGGAAGAGGATTAAATTTTTTATTTATACCATCTAGAACAATTTGAATTTTTTTCATAAGCTTGTATTACATATAATACAAAGTAGTTTATTGAAAACTAAAGACATATTACACAAAGGCCGAAGCAGCAACTTCTCTAGTCCTGAAATCCTGATACCACCCTGTGAGCACTTAGCTGTGGCTTTTCCGGGGACCAGGGCTGACATGTGGCCATACCTGACCCTAGAGCAGGGCGCCTCACCTGGACAGGTTCCCCATCGCGCCACACCAGACCTTCTCCATCACTTTCCCAGCAAAGGTGAACTTCCTGGCCCACCCATGCCTCTGGGATGGTCAGCTCCACCCGGAACCAGCAGGTCCACCATCTGCAAGAGAGTTGTTGTGACAGCCGAGGGGTGGAAGCCCTATCCTGACACACTTCCTTAATTGTCAGCAGGGGCTTGAGACTCTCCAAGGTACCAACTTTGAGTCACAAGAAAGGAGTAACAGGGTGGGCAACAAGTCGAGGAGAGGAGGCAGAGGAGTCAGAGTCTGGGATCCGACCTAGGGTGCTCTTCCTATGGGAGTCCAGAGGCGGAGGTAGGGGGATGGAAACTCTCTCATGAAGACTCGAGAAACCAGGAAGCTGTTGCCAGCCGAGGGTGCTGCTCCTCCGTTCCTTGCAGGGTAGAGGGCAGACAAGGAAGAGGACCGCAGCCAGGGAGGGTGTGGGGTCTTCCCATAGTCCTGCTGGGCCCCGCCCACCCGTTGGGTGTTACCCACGTGGGTCCGAAGCTGTCTCCGACGTGCGCCGGGGTGAAGTCTCGCTGCACAGCCTCCTGGTAGGGAAGCCTCTCGGGCGTAAGGAAGCTGGACAGCGCGGTCACCGGGCGGCGGTCCCCAAAAAGCCTAGACGGGAGGGACCGGTGGGCGCGCGCTCGAGGCTGCCCCTTTCTGCCCGAGGGCCAGTCGACCGGTGGGGACGCGCTTTCCCTCGGTCCACCGCCAAAAGGGCCGCCCGGTCGCCCCCACCATGGCCCGTCCCCTTCCTCCCGGGCCCCTGCCCTGTCCGTTGCGGGCACTTTGTCCCGCGGCCCGGGTGGTTGCGGCTTGGGTTTCTCCCCGGAGGGGAAGGCGGAGCGCACGGACGCGGCAGGCCGGCTCCCTGGGCGAGTGATCACACCTGCCGCGGAGGTTACAGTCGGTGAAGTAGAGCGGTGATACGAACTTCTCCACCCGCTCCAGCGTGGTGCGCCAGTGCTTCAGGGCCGGCGCCGCCGCCGCCGCCATCGCCTCTCGCTCTCCTCTCTCCGGAAGAACCGGTGCTGCCGGCGCGCTCCACGGGCTGAAACCAAAGGTTCCGGCGTCCCAAGCGCGCCGCCCAGCCCCGGGCAGCTTTTCTTGGAACACCGGCGGCTCCGTGCGAACGTGGAGCAAGGAGCGGAGGGCTAGAAGCTACGCCTTCGAGGCTTTCCCGTCTCGTCCGAGCCAGTGGACTGTCGGGCAAATCCCTAAATGGGAAATTTGATGGTGAGAGCTCCCGAAGGTCCCGGGACAGAGACTTAGGACCGCTTGACAGGACAGGCGGCAGCCTCGGCGGCTGCAGACCCACCCACTTAAGCAGCAATCGGGAGAACCCTGGCTATCGGTGAACACGAAAACCGGTTTGCTTAGCGTGGAGCGCCAGGCTGCCCGGGGTGGGTGTCTTCGTACAGGACGGAACCCAGGGTGTTCAAGAGCGGGGAGGAAGGACTTTGCGCCCCAGTGATCACAGCTTCTTCCATTACACGTTTTACTATGTATATCCCTAACTCTTGCCCATCACCTGAACCTAGGGCAGGGCGCCTTACCTGAACGCCCTGCCAGAAACTCTGGAAATATTTTGAGATGGCTGATCACAGCACCAACGAGCCCAATAAAATGTACTGCACCATACAGGACTGCAAAGTCCGGGGAAGCCATCATGTCAGAAACAGAACTCCAATTTCATTCTCATCCCTAATACTCCACTGGTGGCATTTTTTTTTTCCTCTTGGGATTCCCAGTCCTTGTCTATAACATCATTAGGAAGAAAAAATATATACACAACGTTAACCCTGATATTTTAATGATAATACTGACCAAGTTCACAACATTTCAAATGCAAATCACATGGAAAGGGGCTAAGTACAGAATACCAAATGTGATTTAAAATAAGGATAACTTTCTGCTGTATACAATACAGGTTGGGTTTAGAGCTTGGAGCTCAGATGTCAACAGGAGGGATAATGTTTGTGTAAACCCTGGCTGCAGGTAAAGCTCTCTCTGCTGCTGGCTGCATTGGTGGGTTGGGGTTTTCTCCTGAACTGACCCTGAAACCCCATCCTGACTGCCTGCAGGAGCTCAGGACATAACACCTTGCAAGGCAGCAACAGCTGGGGCTGCCCCATCAATTTACCCTGCAACTCCAAGTCAATGTGATCTTTCTTGAGGGAGCACTGGGGGATAGGTGGCTTATTGCTGAGGAAATCTCTAGAGCTTCCTCCCTATTCAGTACATCACTCTTCCCCCAAGTTGGGCACTGCCCTAGCTTTGCTCCAGAATCTTCCCCCAAGGTTCTTGGTGCCACCCCACACTTTGGCTAACAGAATCTCCTCTCCCCCTGCAACAAAAAAAGTTTAAAATCAGAGAGGTTTCCCATGTGTTTTGAAAGTCGGGAGCCCCAACATTTTCCTTTTTGGTAGTAGTGTTGGGGATATTTAATTAAAAAGAAAACAAAACACACTAAACACTGCTGGTTACAACTGAGACTAGAGTAATGGTTGCTGGAAAAAAATCCACCAGAGTATCGGAGGGGCTCAGTTGGTCTTTGTTTAGAAAGTCCAGGCTAACCACATATAAAAATCCTAATCATCTGTGTTTAAATGCCTGCCAGTTTAAATTTATGTAATTAAAATATATATAACCCTTTTGCAGTTGCTAAGGAAAGTATCAAATCCTCTCTCTCCCAACCCCACATATCAGGTATAACACACACCTTATATACTCTGCTTTCAAACATTGGTTTGATATTCAAGTCGTTCACTCCCATCCCCAATAAGGATAAGAAAAAATACACAGAAATACAAACTACATAGCTTGACAACTGACCCAAATATAAAATATTTTCAAATAGTTGAACAAGAGGAAAAAAAAGGATGAAGTCTTCTATTTTAAAAGTCTGGAATATTTTGGTTCAGGACAAATGGAAGTGACTGTTAACCACTGAAAGCAAACTCTCATGTGTACCCTGAATAAGGAAATGGAGCCAAAACCTCTGCTTCAACAACAGTGCTCTGGTGAGGACAAGGGACTTGGGCTGCGAGTTTATTCCTTAAGTAAGAACCAAGCTTTATTTATTTACAAAAAAAAAGTTGGGGGCAAGGGGGAAGACAAGTTTTACACAAAAGTACTACAATGGTAACTCCCTTTGGTAAAAAGTGTAATAAATGTCTTGTACATCTGTTCATAGGTACTAAATCTGAAGCCACATAGTACTATGGTACACAAGAAGCTAGAGCAGTTATGCTAGCACATCAAAGCATATTTCTTTTAATAAAAAATTGACAGTATGTACATTATTTACAAAAAAAAGAAAAACCAAGTTAAAATTGTGTGTGCGCACATGTGTGTGTGTGTCGGAGAGTGAAGCTGGTGGATGGCACTAGGGTAGACTAGTAAAGAAGCAGGTACGAAACAGTTCCACGGGAGCTAAAGGACGACTGATTTGAACTTGCTGAGAACCAGAGGAGGGAGAGAAGGGAGGGCAGTGAGGGATTCGTCAGGAATCAAATCCACAAGATGATCAATCCCCAAGCCAAACTGCAGGTCCCAGATAAAACCTAATGGATCACCCGTGATCTTAGATGTGCTCAAGTGACCAGAAAAGAAAATAGAATCCAGTTTTTTTTCTCCTTTTGTGGGGAGGGGAGAGGAGCAGTGACCATCACAGGTATAATCCATTTGAGTATTAGTCCTTTGCCAGTCTGTTTTGTCAAGGTGTGAACAGCATCTGGTTCCCTCATTGAAGGTTAGGCCACAGGAGGCTCCAGTCCTAGCTCTGCTGGTGTGTACAAGCAAGCCGCACATCTCTGGGCTTGCATGGACCTCCTTCCCCTCCAGGGCAGGCTAATACCCAAAAGCCCTCGGGAAAAGCTCCAGCTCCGGCTCTGTAAGGTATTCATGTTCCTAATAGGTAGCCCACTTGGTGCCAGGTTGCACCAGCCACACACAGATCAGGTGGCCATGTCCCAGAGAGGCCCAGTGAGGCTTGAAAGGCATCTTCCTTGTTTCTTCAGTGTGTGTGAGTGCACAAGCCCCCACACACACCTACACACACGCACACACACCCTCCAGTTATCTGCTCTGGCTTGCAGTTAAGGGGCTTTGAATACTGTGCCGTATTTGACACGATACTTGTTAATGCTCACAAAATGCAGGGTCTCTGTATCACAGGTGGTGGTACAGGGCACCAGGCCCTCCAGGCCCTCACCCATGAGCCATTTGCTGGTCTCTGCTGCCATCTCACGGGGCACATGCTCCTTGGTCCATTTATCTACCCAGGCCTGGAACCTCTGATGTAGACGCTTGCTTACACGCTCATGGGACTGCAAAACAGAAAAAGGAAACGTAAAAAAAGTGAAGTGTGCCCCCTCCAAAACCCTTCAAGTACAAAACCCAATTTTCTCCTAAAGTAGCAGAGGAAAGATGTAGGCTCAAGTCTTAGACACTACTGGTTAGTTAAGAGAACCAAAACAGGTTTAAGAACATAGAACATGTAAGGAGATTTATGATGACCCATGTTCACTTCCCGAACATAAAGCCCCAAAGAAACCCAACAGACTCTGGGCTGAACAAGTTCATGGCTTCAATGTTTACACGCCCTTGTATAACCTGGGGAATGTGGTAAAAACACACATTTCCTTGGTGCCACCAATCTGCAGTTTAGATCAGTAACTAAGCTGATTCTAATGTATCCTAGGTGAGACACAAGAGCCCCAGCCGGGGTAATTTCTGTTGGCATAGCCAAGTCTGACAAAGTGAAGGGCTGAAAGCCCACTCTCCCTTCATGTGTTACCCCATCCTGGCCAGCAGAGGCCAGGCTCAGCAGCTCTCTTGCAGACAGTCACATTCTCCCTGGGCACCTGGTAAATATTTGCTGATGCCCACAGGCAAGGCATGGCAGGGGATACACCCCAACAAATTCGAATCTGAGACACGGAGTCATACAACACACGGCCATTATACTCTCTGCCTTGCCGCTGACCCTTGAGCAACGCGGGTTTGACCCGCATGGGTCCACTCATCCCACTCTTCCCCCACCACCCTTGAGAAGATGCAAGACCAGCCACCCCTCCTCAGCCTGCACGATGTGATGACGAGGAGGACAAACACCTTTACGATGACCCACGTCCACTTCATGAACAGTGAATGTATGTTCTCCTGATTATTTCCTTGATCATTTTCTTTTCTTTTCTCTAGCTTACTTTACAGTAAGAACACAGTATGTAATACATATAACATACAAAATACATGTTATTTCAACTGTTCATGCCACTCCCATTCTCCTCACAGTAGTCCAAGCTATCTTTGTCAACAATGTCTGAATAGACTAAAATAAAATCCAAACCACAGCCTATAACGTGACCTCTGCCGACCCTTCTACTTCATGATTCCTTGAGTCATGCCAAGTCCTTTCCTCCCTCCCAGCCTTGTGCTTGTTTTCTTTGCCCGCACCTCTTCCCCAGGTGAGCTCATTGTCATTATTTAGTGCCAAGCATCACCTCCTTAGAGAAGCCTCCTCTAATGAAAGCAAGCAAGGCCTGCATGCCAGGTAGTCCATCCTTTCGCCTGGATTGCTTCTCTGACAGTGTCTATCACATGACCTTATTTGCTCTACTACATGGTTGTAGTGACAGGGCCTGGCACAACCCCTTAAACACAACCACACCAGGAAGATTTCACAAGTGAGACAGAATGTGAAAGCAGGTGGGTTCATATAGCCAAAAGATCAATTACATTTCAAGACACCACTTGAAATGTAATTGCTGGTAGTAGCTTCACCAGAAGATGCTACCAGGTAGGTATCTATACCTGCTCTTATGGATTGAACTGTGTCGTCTCCCCACCCCCCTCAATTGATATGTGGAAGACCTATTCCCTAGTACCTCAGAAGGTGACCTTGTTTGGACACAGACACACACACTGGCAGAAACACCACAGGAAGATGAGGCAGGGATCCACAGGTCCAGGAATGCCACAGATGGTTAGCCAAGCACCAGCAGCGAGGAGAGGGGCCTGGAACAG